TAATTGTTTGTTATCATAATTAAAGTAGCTTTTGCAAACCCCTAGTGTATTCAAACTATCACCTTTGATTTCATAACAATTTCATCCACCGTATCAAAATCTAGCTCCCAAATCTCTCCAAGCTGTTTCAATAGTTTCTCTGCAGGATGAGGACATCATTGTAATGTTCTATTTAAATCGTCTACTATGATGCATGTCCCATTCAACTGCTTAACACCACCAGAATTAAATTCTAGAGTTAATTCATTTTCATAACAAATAGTCATATCCCATGATGATTCTCTATTAGACGTTACATTAAGGTCTTGTGCCAACCAATTTATATCAATTTCATTATCTTGTTCTTGTATTGTTGTTGATGACAAATTGGCATATGCCTTAGCTAATCCGATTGCTGATATATCAAATTGTATATCATGTGAACTATCGTATAGATTTATATCACTTTCTGTGCTGCTTGTACTATATTTAGACAAAAGTGAAGATGTTGGTTGCTCAAGACTTTCAGAATTATCCCCAATGCTAACATAGTCAAGAATCTCAAAGTCCTTATCAGGATCATTACAAAGAGTCTCTACGTAATAATAACTGCCAGTTGGATTATTCATTAGAACAGTAGTATTTCGTCAGCTAATATTAATTTTATGCCTTAGGTGCCCTTTTACGAGTTGATTCTATTGTGCTTACTATTTTAATTGAACTAGATGTTTCCGCTATACTTTGTGTCCAAAAAAAAAAAAGGTTGGTAACGAATTTAAAAATTACTTGTGTAATGTTCTTTTGGTTGTCTAGCTTCAATTCGAGATTCTTTAAAACCTAGTCACTCTATAAATTGAAACTTCACTGTTTAAAAAAATAAAAGGCTAAAGCTAACATTTTTGTTAAGCGCAGTAATAAAATATACTTCTTAAAAAAAAGTTCTTACAGCTTAAAGAGAAAAATTCTGTCAAGTAATATAAGAAATTTGTCGATCATTCAATAAAAATTTAATATAAGTGTACAGTAGCCACCCCTGCAGCATGACATATCCCCTAATCGGTATGTATAAATTTAAATTTAAATTTAATTTATCTTTATTTAGAATTTGAAAATGAAATCTGGTATAACGATAAATTGTCAAGAATGGGTACAAATAAATTGAGAGGAATATTACACCAAATAACTTTAAAAACTGGAATTAATGTCAATGAACGTAAAATCACAAATCATAGTGCACAAAGAACAGCGATTATGATTTTGAAAGCTTCAGATGTACCTGAAGATGAGATAATGTGTTTTTTCAGCTATAGGTTTCACGAAGGGATTAGGTTATACAGCAAACCCACAGATGATCAATGATTAAGTTCAACAGCAATGCTAATTCCGTATACAGCAATTGATGATGATCTTGAAGAATTTTATTCTTACCCAGGTAATTTGTATACTTGTGAATCCGAAAGTGATGATGATGAGATAATTTTGTGAGTGATAAACATGTGAGCAGAGATAATATTGTGAGTGATAAACGTGTAGTTGAAATTGAATGTGAAGGTAAAAAATTTTTTTTTTAAATTTAAAAAAAAATAAAAAAAATATTACTGATATTTATCTAATAAATTCAAGATAATCAAAACAAAAATAACGTACCACAACAAAAGCTAAAAAAAATTAAAGCTTTGACTGAAGCTTCAACTTATTCTCAAATTAATTCAAAACTCTTCAGACCATTTAAATCTCCTCTTTCAAAGAACCTGCCAAACAAGGAAAGTCAAAAATCATCACAAGAAAATCAACAAATTATTCAACAAAATATGAACCCAGATCAAGAAAAAATTAACCAAGTTCAACCGCAAGCACAAAGTCACCTCAACCTTCAAGTTCAATCAACTCATCAAGCTTTTAATC